CCCGTAGTAGATCGTCCGTCTGTATCTGTGGGGGACTAAACAATGTAGGCGTTTTTGCCGCGAGTTGGTCTTCACGTGCCCCCTCTTGATGATGGGAGATGGCGTCTTTACATGAGATGGTGATGGCGCTCAGGGTCCTGGGCTTGGCTGGGCAGCTGGGGGCTTATAGGGCCTTCTCTCTTCCTGGCTCACTTTCTGCCTTTTCTGCACCTGCATTCGAAAGTGATCATGGTCTGTCTGTGTCCTGGTCATCGATAGTGCAGGGAGAGGACTTGCAGAAAGCACTTCCCCGTGTTTGGAGGGTCCCCTCTGTCCCTTCCAAACCCTGGAGCTTTCCCACACTTCTCACCACCTTTTTTTAGGTGCCTCTTGGCACCTGTTGTCTTGTTGTACGCTCTATGCCTGGCTCAGCACAGTTTCTGTGAGGCTTTAAAAAGGGAGAACGAGAGTGGGTCCTGTGTCTGTGTGTCTGAGTTGGTGGCGGAGCCACAGCTGTGGTCTTCTGACACTGGTTTCTAATTTCAGCAGCCCGGTGTCCTTTTCTGCTCCTGCGTTGAAGTGATTACAGGCTGCCTTTTTCTTGGTCGTTGGTAACGCAGGCAAAGGAAAAGTCGCAAGGTTCTTTCTATATTCAGAGGTTCCCAAATGGGACAACCTTAGGTGACCGAGCACAAGGTGGAGGGAGGGAGGCAGGCTTTCAGTGTGCTTACCTCCTAAGACCCAGATTCCCCCAGTGTTTTCCTGTTGGTAAAGATAGTGGGTTCCTGGGCGTGTAAGCAGTGCCACGGGCTTCTTGTCTCTTGCAGGAGTGGGTCGTGACTGCTGTTCCATGTTTGTGAAAGGCGACCTCAGGGAGAAGAACGTGGATCGGGAGGTCCCAGGTAAGTGGGATTCTCTAGAGCTCAGGTCTTGTGCGGGCTGTGAGGCTGGAGGGGTTCAGATGATGAGGTGTGGGAAAGAGTGCCTTCTTCCCGCTGCTCCCAGCTGTCTGTGTCCCCTCAGGCTGGTAGGTACAGGTCAGGTCCCTCCTCTGTTCCTGAGAGCCCCTGATGAAGGCTGCTGTGACATTGAGAGGCAAGCAGCGGTGTCGGGATGGACAGAGAGAGGGCTGCGTTTTAGAGGCAAACCTAGACTCCTTTCCGGTTCCCAGCTGAGTGAACCTGAGTGCTCTTCTGTGATCACCCACACCCAGTCTTTCAGAACCATGAATCCTCAGTATTTCTGCGCAGTTAGTCTCCTCACCTCTTGGTAGGGAGCGGTAAATCGTCCTTGCAAATAAGGGGAAGCTTCTGTGATCTTAGGCTGTAAATCTGGCCATTGGCCTGTCTGCTGGGCTCCTAGTTCAACTCAGTTCCTGGGCTGCTGTCCGAGGTCTCCCTTCTCGGCCCACTCACTGCCCTTCTCTGCTCCTGCATTCGAAAGTGATCGCGGGCGGCCGTGCCCTGGTCATTGATAGTGCAGGGAGAGGAATTGCCGAAAGCGTTTCCCCGTGTTGGAAGGGCCCATCCTGTCCCTTCCAAACTCTGGAGCTTTCGTACACATCTCTCTGTCTGCTGATTTGTATTGCTTTCTGCTACTTGGCGCTGGGTGGCTCACTGAGTGCCCTTTTGCCGAGTAGGGCCCTGCCTCAGCGTGTTTCTGTTCATGGGCCGGTGGTGGAATGCTGACAGGGGTCCCTCTTCCCCCAGGGCTCTCCCCGGGAAGCATTCTCTGCCTTCTCATTGCACCGCTTCCCACACCCTCAGCCCCGTTGCTCAGCCCTGATCACATTGGATGTTGGTGATTTGCTTGTCATTCCCCTATGCTGTGATCTTGAGGGCAGTGCCTCCATCTTGGTGTCTGACATGTAGCACTGGGTCAAAACAGGACAAGGTGGGGGAGATCGAGATGCTACATGGTGAGGCAATGGGCTTTTCCCACTCTGGACTGTCAGTGCGGAGAGACTGTACCTGCTCAAGGCTGAGGCATCCAGCTCTCCTTGGAAGGGTTTCTTTTGTCCTGGCCACGGGCTGGGCCTGTGGTCCACTGGGGGTAACATTCCCTCTGCTCTTAGGTTAAGGAGCAAGGGAGTAGTCCCCCAGCTGGGCAGGACGTCGTCGTCGAGAATGCGTACGCAGGCAGCCCTTACGCACTAGATGGAGGACGTGGGGCCCTCCCACCACCCGTTACCCCTCCTGCTCCAGGCTCATTGCTGCCGGTCAGCGTGGCTCGCTCTCCAAAACCTGGCCTTGACAACTTTTTGATACAGATTGCTTAGCAACAAATTGATCGTGGGTACATAGGATAACGCTGACATTACTTCTGTCACACATGTTCCCCAGGTCCCTTCCTAGAGTTCAGTTGTTCTTGTTCCTGAGACAGCAGTGTGGCTGTCCAAGTCCTGGTAGCAATGGCCCACGTTTGTGGGTGCTGGAATCCGCCGGCCGCTGTGCCAGGTACCCTCTGCACCACCCCCCCAGGCCTGTTGAGAGTGCTCATTCACGCCTTGTCTCTTGCAGGTGGATCTGCATGTCCAGAGGCTCCATGAGAGGTGTCTTACAGCCAGGCGCAAGGCCACAAATGCCCCGAGGTAAGGTTTTGGAGCCTTTTCTGGAATTGTGTCTTTTTGCATCCGTAAAGTCACACACGTGTGCCCTGGGGTCTGGATGAGGCAGCGAGATGAGAGTGGGCACCCATGAGTTCCCAGTTGTGTCCTGGCTGGGAGGCAATCCCCCACATAGTGAGGGAGGGGGGACAGGCCTCTAGAAAGCTGCGCTGGTGAAGGGCTTCCTTCCTGGCGTCAGCACCGTGCTGCGAGGGAAAGCCTGTAGATTTAGGCACCAGAGACCTTGGTCCAGTTTCTGAGGCATGCATGTCTGGCTTTGTGAGCCATCCTTCCTGGCGCTCTTTCTGTCCTTTTCTGCTCCCGTATCTGAAAGTGACTGCAGGCTGCCTGTGCCTTGGTCATTGGTAGGGCAGGGAGAGGAGTCACCGAGAAAAGTTCCCGTGTTTGAAGGGTCCAGCCATCCTTTCCAAACCCTGGAGCTTTCCCACACTAGCTTTTTCCCCCTGCCCTTCCCTTCTGAGCTGGGGCCTCTGCTGGCCCCCATGTGAGGCGGTAACTGGGCTAGCCCCCTGACCTGTGGGGGCTCATTCTGTCTTTCCACGTTACGGATTTTCTTGTCAGAAACAAGCCTACCTTTTAATTTGGACTTCACCCTGGAATAAATTCACATAGCGCCCGAGGGCACACGTAAGAATTGGAAATCGAGGCTTCTGCTGTTTGAATTTACAGGAGCCGAGGCCAGTCCGCAAGAACACGTTAGTCAAGGCAGTGTGTGAATTCAGCGCTCGTGTGTCTGTTGTCTTTGCTCCTCGACTGTCTCTTGAGCACAGCGTGCATTGCTTCTCCAGGAGCTGTCAGAAACGTTAAATAAATGGAGAAAGAAAAACAAAGGTGGGGCCTGCTCTAGGGGCAAGGAGGAGTTCTATCAATTCTGAGTCAATAGAAATAGTTCTCATTTGTCACGGTCAGCCAGAAGCCCGAGGAGTTCTCTTGTCACTCACCGACAGGAGAAGGATGTGTTGATGGATCACCCTCTTTGTAGGTCTCCCTTCACTGACTTCATCTGTGCTTTGTGGGTTCTTTTGCAAAGGGTGACCCCGGGGGTTGACTGAAGAAGAAGTTCTGAGTCCTGTGGATCTTTGAAATCTATTTGTAGACTCCAGATTTCCTAGCTTGCTTCCTGATTCGTGTCAGTGAGGGTATATGTTGCAGGCTGGGCACTCCGTAGTCCTCGTCAACAGCAGGCTGACCGTCTGCGTCTCATTCTGTGCGCTGCCCCTGTGTTCGGGGAGGCAGAAACCTTGCGACGGGGCCTTCGCTTTGTAGACTCAGATACAACGGGTGCCCCTGGGAGGCATGTCTTGGCTCCCGGGTAAGAAGTGAGGTGAGGTTGGAGGCGAGGTCAAGGTACCCATCCCAGACTTCTGGCCTGGGGGCTCCTGTCTAGTTTTGAGACCCCTTCCGTTTGCCTTGCAGGTGGGATCCTGCCGGGCCACATGTTTTTGTTCCGTCTCACGATGATGTGGAGGTAGTCAGAATAGTGTATGTGAACCACCCGGTGCCCAGGAGTCCTCTGATAACCCTGAGGTCCCCTTGCCTTTCAGACCTGCTCTCCACCCCTTTTGCGTCAGGGGCTTGTCCTGTCCCACAGCCTAGTTCCTGGTCCTGGGCTTCTCAGCCAGGCTGGAGGATTCAAGGGACAATGGCGACCATCCTGAAGACATTTTATATCCCCCCTACCCCCCACTCCAGGCCTGGTCATTCAAACCCCTGGGTGTGGAGTCCTGCAGGTTGAGTTGGGAGTCACTTGTGTAATCTTCTCAAGCGTTCACGACGTGTTTTCATTTGTCCTTCAAATGGGCCCAGCAGTGTTGACCTTCAAAGGTCGGGGCACCTCACCAGAACAAGTCTTTGTTGGAAGTTTAGCTGGCATTTGCCTTTTACGGCCGGGCCGTGTTAAGTGGGTCTTCGCAGAACAGGATGGCAGCTGCTGGGGCCTTGTGACAGGCTGGGCAGACGAGTCGTGAACGTGTGTGGGAGAGCTGCTGAGGATGAGGGTCCGTCCCTTTGGTCAAGATGCAGTGGTTCCTCAGTGCCAAGCTGCCAACAGTGAGCGCTGAGCTGTCTCCCTGAGAATTACTCTGTGTGGTCAGTTGCCCTGGTCGTGAACTCCTAGAAAGAAAGCGATTTCTTATAAAAACTGGATTTTTAAGATGTTTTTCTTTTATCATCCTTTCTATCTTGTTGACAATCTAGTTTGGCGCGTGTAAACTGGGAGCTTAGGCCTGGTTGATGCGGACCTTCTCAGTGATGTCACTTGGGGAGAAGGTGGCCTGGAGATTAAATGCTTATATGCTTCTTCTCCCTCTTAGGTCAGCCTTCGGTCCGGAGGCTATTGAAGTAAGTCCCAAGGCCGTGAGTCATTGACCCTCGGGATGACGTGGGATGTGTGTTCGCTGAGACTTTTCTCCGAGGTGAGTTAGTGCCGAGTGCCGGAGACCCACAGGCAGCGGGGAAGCTGGTTTGCGTTCATGTGGGTGGGAACTCCAAACCATCATCATCATCGGTCTCACTTGTCCTTTCTTGTAGGTTCTCTCGGTGCCATTAGTAGTCACCAGAGGGGCAGAGAACGGAGAGAGAGTCCTCTATGCGAAGCATCCCCAGAGCACCCCGTGCTGTCCGCTCAGAGCACCTCGGAGCAGCTCTTGGCTCCGCGCGTGACATCAAAGGGAGGGTGCTGGGGCTGTGGCCGGGTCCGCTCCAGCTGGCTCTTGAGTCGGGACAGCCGTGCCCCGAGAAGCCGAAGACGGGAGGTCAGCCCCGCGTCCCTCTGCTGTGTCTGGAATGACTTGAATGAGCGAACGTTTTCCTCTCGCATTCTAGCTGCTCATCACTTTCCCCTCTGCCTACCCATTCAATAAACCTTACGGACTTGCCGCGTCTGCCTTTTAAGTCATCTAACAAGCTGTGTGCTGCTGAGGCTGGACGTGAAATGGATGGCCTTCCAGTCGTGTTTTCACCCGTGAGCCTCTTCCTGTTAGGCTCCTGAGGCTTGGCACCCAGGCTACTGTTCGATTGTTCAGTTAGGACAAGGAGGTGACCAGGTGCTGGTAGAGTTGGCTCAGATTGAGGGCCCATGAAAAAGTCAAGGGTGTTGAAGAACAGGCCAGGGCTTTGGAAGGGGGGACGGGTGACCGGGTGGGCTGGAGTGAGGCAGGCAGTGATGCCATCGAGGAAGCTGGGGTGGCCTGAGTTCTGGGGCCTGGCTCATGAGTATAAATGCCTGCCCGTTGCGGGGCTCAAACTCACGGACCGTGAGATCATGACCTGAGCCAAAGTCAGACGCTCAACCGACTGAGCCACCCAGGCGCCCCTTTAATTCCCATTTTAAAGATGGAAGGGTCTATGTGAGGAAATAGGCCCCAAAGGCCATGATGAAAGGCCGCGTTGTCCCGTTTCTGCATTGGAAATCGGACTTGCCTCAGTGAGTTTGATACCTTGACGGGCGCCTGTGGGAGGCAGGCGTTCTCCGCGCCTCAGGTGTTCACTCTGCCGGCCAGTTCCCGACAGCGGCATCCAGAAGTCAAGTGTCTTTTTTTCTGCCTTCTCCGTGGACCGTCCTTTGACTTCTGGTCAGCTGCCTGAAGTCGGTAGTGTTGGCTGCTGTGGAGACGCAGCAGCACAACACGGGCCCGGACTTCACAAGTGTGCACGGGGACACCAGGTGCCAGGTCATGCCTGCCTCGCGGTGCTTGGGGCGTGTGAAGCGTGAGCCATCCCCAGTCTTTAGGGCCTGAACAAATCTGGGAAGAGCGTCAACAAGGTGACCCAGGAGCCAGGCTTCAGGCCAGGGAGGTATGATTCTGGCCGGGAATTGTGTGCTTACCGGATGGATCAGGTAATGGGAGATTCCCATCGTACAGTCAAGAACTGGGAGGATGAGAGCTGGTTAGAGTGAAGGTTCCTTCATCACAAGAAAAAAAAACGCGTTGGGGCGCCTGGGTGGCGCAGTCGGTTAAGCGTCCGACTTCAGCCAGGTCACGATCTCGCGGTCCGTGAGTTCGAGCCCCGCGTCAGGCTCTGGGCTGATGGCTCGGAGCCTGGAGCCTGTTTCCGATTCTGTGTCTCCCTCTCTCTCTGCTCCTCCCCCGTTCATGCTCTGTCTCTCTCTGTCCAAAAATAAATAAACGTTGAAAAAAAAAAATTTAAAGAAAAAAAACGCGTTTATGTATGAGCCAGAGCCCATGCTGAAAGTGGGGATAGGAGGGGGAATACGTTTGGGTTCTCATGGTATCCCTGAAAGGTCTCTACATGTGTTGTTTATATGCTTAATATCTGGAATGTGCGCTTCTGTTGGGCACTACTATAGGTTGGGGATACTGCTCCGAACACAACACACAGGAGGCCTCACGGAGCTTATAGGACTGCAGTCCCTCAGGGTGAGCCGCTAGCCATGCATGGCTGTTTCTTTAAATTGATACAAATAAAAACGTGAAGTTCACATCTTCCTTTGCACCAGCCGTATTTCAGATGTTTGGTGGCCACAAGCGGCTGCTGTGTCGGGCCGCGCAGATGCATAGGACTGTTCCTGTCACTGCAAGAAGTGTTAAAAAGAAAACTCACAGGCCCAAAATGGCGTCACGTAGGCCAAGTCCCCAAACCCAGGCTTAATACCTGATCGAAATGCAGCGTCAGCTCGCCGCGGAAGTGCAGTCTTAACCGGTCAGAAATTTTTCTGATGGGTGCCTGTGAGTCCACTGCATGGGCTCTCTCCATCCCCAAAGGAAGATGAAATAATCTGCGTGATTAGACTCCCCTCCTGTTCCCCCTCAGGGAAAGCAACCTTGCCTGGAAGCATTCGTTTGCAAATGGCTCCTGCCCTACCTCTCTTCTCTCCAGGCTGGGTGGGATGCTGCCCGACTCCTTGTTTCATAAAGCCGACTAGATCTTCAAATTGACCGGGTTGAATTTTGTTTAACGTGAAGTCAGACAGCACAGCGCTGGTCTAGAAGGTGAGTTCAGGGCTAATTACGTGAACGAAGAGGGTTGCTGGACACCTTTACAGAAAGGCTGTTACTCTAGGAGCCCACGGTGGTGTGACATCCCCTGCCGGGATGTTTAGGGTAGTTCTGAGTGTGGGCGGACAAAGTTGGGGCGGCCGCCTGCAGGAGTGTAAGGTCACTGGCTTTGGGGTCACACAGACCTGAGTCTGTCCCCCACCCCCCGGGTGGCGTAAGGCAAGTTTCCACTACCTGACCTCGGTTTCCTCTTGTAAAATGAGACCCACACCTTTACAAGAGTGGGGTGAGGTAGGGATTAAATAGACCGATGCATGTGAAAGCCTGAGTAGTGTGTCCCTTTAGGAAATAATTGGTAACTGATAGCTATTACTATTATTTATTGAAGGTTTCTCTGCACCATACCGAAATTGATCATACTTCTTTTGGGCCTTGGGGGCTTTGATGGTGTAGCCCCTAATTTTTTAAAAAATATAACTTATTGTCAAATTGGCTAACATACAGTGTGTGAAGTGTGCTCTTGGTTTTGGGGGTAGATTCCCGTGGTTCATCGCTTACAGACAACACCCAGCGTTCATCCTAGCAAGTGCCCTTCTCAATGCCCATCATCCATTTTCCCCTTTCCTTTCCCCGCCCCCACCCCAATCAACCCTCAGTTTGTTCTCTGTATTTAAGAGTCTTTTATGGTTTGCCTCCCTCTCTCTAACAATTTTTCCCCCTTTCCCTTCCCCCATGGTCTTCTGTTAAGCTTCTCAAGCTCCACATGAGTGAAAACATGGTATCTGTCTTTCTCTGACTTATTTCACTTTTAATGCTGAAATTTGTGGGCAATCAAAAATAGTTCTGTTCCTTTTACAGCAGAAGATTTGCATAATAATTAATAGATGGCTTAAAAACATTTATCTCCAAATTAGAGTATACATGCTTTTCTCAAGCATATAAAGAGCCTTTATAAATACTGTTCATATTCTGGGTTATAAAACAAGTGACAAATACCAAAGAATCTGTGTCCTATGAACTACATTTGCACTGCAATAGAAAGGCAATAACAACAAAAACAGGTCTGAAAAAAATCCCTATGTTTGGGAAATTTAAAAACATTGAAAATACCTCATCAAAGATGATACCGTAAGCAGAATTAGAAATAGTGACAACGGAATGATAATAAAAATTTACATACCGAAGTTTGTGAATTGTAGCTCAAGTAATTACTAAGGAGAAATTTAAGCCTCGATGCTTGAAATAGAAGACCGAGATTTAATATGTAATAAAAAAGAAAATAGAAGTAATGCGAATAAAAATTAGAGCAGAAAGTAAAGCCAAATTTAGGGAATGATATAGATCACTTTTTGTATATAAAAATTTATATTTTGATGAGCACATTTCGAGAAAACATCAAACGAAATTGCCTCGAGGAGAAATGGGAAACTAATAGTCTGATAAAGACCACAGGGGTGGAGGGGTGTATAGGGGCCATGAGGCTTTGGCTTCAGACTACACAGTTTTCTCAGAATTCAGCTGTAGACAGGCCATGCACGAGAAACATCATTGGTCAGGCTTTTAAATTTTTCCCACCAGCGTTGAAGACCACAGCCATTTACCTCTACTGGCGGTAAGACTGAACAATTGTAACGAATATAGGTGGTCAGAGTGGAAGAGAGTGAAAGCCTCTTTTGAGGGGTAACGATTTCCGAGGATGTCGTGAAGGATTACCTTGGACTGAGAACATATACGCTGCGAAGACATTGATCGACTAGTAGCTCTAGGCTTATATCCTAAAGTGTGTACCCTGTCACTGATAGACAGGGATGCTGAAACTTTCAAATCACTCTGTAGACCGTTCTTGTCCCCGTCTTTTTGCTTGGCAGGAGCATGTTTCTTTTAAGCCGAAAAGTACAAAATTATTCAAATGTTTTCATATTAACATGGTCTATACATAAATAACTCAGGAAAATGGAACTTCTTTTGTTGGTTTTGCGTGTTTTTTTTTTTTTTAATCCTAAATTTGGAAAACAAAGAGCTCTCACGAGTTTTGAGTTGACTAAAACTTAGAGAATGGATAAGATCTAATTATATCTTGGGGCACCTGGGTGGCTCAGTCAGTTAAGCATCCGACTTCGGCTCAGGTCTGATCTCACTGTGAGTTCAAGCCCCGCATCGGGCTCTGTGCTGGCAGCTCAGAGCCTGGAGCCTGCTTCAGATTCTGTGTCTCCCTCTCTCTCTCTGCCCCTCCCCTGCTCATGCTCTGTCTCTCTTTGTCTCTTAACAATAAATAAATGTTAAAAAAAAAAAAAGATGTAATTATATCTTTTATCCCTTCTAAGGTGATCAGGGCAAATCTTTGTGTAATCTGGTGGCCATTCAAGGAAACCCAAAGACAGTTTAGGGCTAAAGGACGTTTTCACTATTTTTTTCTGAATTTGGGAAAGGGAAAGGGAAGAATTGTCAGAGGACAATATATGAACACAATTTTCAAATGTAAGAAAAAGTTCTTATGAGCCAGTATTTTAAAAATCGCAGCAAAAAGTAAATACCTATTAGAAACTTAACTTTAAAAAAAAAATAAGGAGCTTTATTAAAACGAATCCGGACTATGCCAGATATAACATACAGATGGCCAACAGATGCACGAAAAGGTGCTCTGCGTCACTAACCAGGGAAATGGAAATCAAAACCACGATGCAATACCACCTCATGTGAATTAAAATGGTTAGTATCAAAAAATAAGTGTTGTCGACGTGGAGAAAAAGGAACTCTTGTGCACTGTTCATGGCAATGTAAATTGATGTAAGCACTGTGGAAAACGGTATGGAAGTTTAAAAAAAAAATTTAAAAATAGAACTGCCACCTGATTCGGTAATTCCACTACTGGATATTTACCCGAATAAAATGGAAATACTAACTTGAAACAATATATG